AAATGCTTGTGAAGGCCAAACTCCATAGCTCTTGAATAATGGAAATGAGCCTTAGTCCTTGTGAAAGTAGGAGGGGTGGGATGAAACTAAGGAGAGGAGAAGAGTGTTGTGAGTTTTGTGAAGGTTTGGTGGCTAAAAATAGAAGATATGGTGCTGGAAAATGAAGAACAAAAGGGAGAAAATGAAGAACACTATGAACAAGGGAGAGAAAATGTGGGAGATGAGTAAATGGGTAAATGAATCTAATTTTAGGGGGCTGTGGGACGTGGTTTAAGTATTTTCCTATTACCTGAAACTCAATTAAAAAATAAGAAAAGAAAATAAATGGAAAATGTAAGCCTTGTCACATTTGCAAGGTGACACCCTCCTATTGGCTTGTAGTTGATTCTAATGTGTCTACAATTAATCCTATATGTCATCCACAATTTTAGCTAATCTAAACCACTAAATAGGAGCCCTTACACATCCAAACCATTAGCCTTTAACCCCATAGACTTTTGACTCTATTTGCCCAATTGATACGCAAGTCACATGCCACCTATGTCACATAAATCACATAATTCAATTAAATAACATGTGACATTATAAAATATAATTAATGTCTAGAATTGAATTCATAATTAGAAGGGAGAATTAATTAAAACAACCAAGTTTTAGTCTTCACAAAATTATATAAAAATTTTCACACAAAGAAAACCTAAAAACTAGGTCAAACTAAAACATTTAAGAAAGTGTTGGCTTTTTATTTAATTACTCTCAAACTAAAATAAATTCTAAAAATCTAATTTCACTACTCATCAACTGAACATGAAATACACTTTTTAAATTTTTCTTGTACATTTTCTCAAAAGTTCATTTTTTAAACCAAAATACCCTAGTGTAATAAACTTAGGCAAAATTTTAAATCTAATGCAATGCGTGCACTTTGAGGTGATAAATCATTAATAAAAGGGTCATAATTGACAAATAAAAGTGGGTAATAAATATGTTTCATCACATCTCCTTTGTTGTTTTTAGATTGCTTACACGAAAGTACTCCTGTTGACTCAAGGCACTTGCAATAATTAATTTTGTCTTGGAGTTAAATAGTACAAGTTTTTCTTTATTTTCTATGAATTCACTCATTTCTTTTCTTACCAGTTGTCCTCCTACAATTTTATATGGAATGTAAGGACCACTCTTAATAATCTCCTATAAATCAAAGTCTGAGGACTCAAAGAATAATCTCATCTTACTTTTTCACTAGTGATTGTTTAATAAGTAACAAATCATGCGTGGCTACTATCAGATCTCATGTGTGAAACAGTAGTTGACATAATGTAATGAAGCTCAGTTGTTAAACTTGTATGGACAACAATGGCTCTCATGCATGATTTTCCATACAAAAGCAAGGCTTAAGGCATCACATAACATAACTGACAAATCACTAGTAAATCACTTCCCGATACTAGCGTGATTTATCAGTTAGTCTGCCTAACTTTTAGTTTCTTATGAGTGCCCAGTAAAATCATACGTGATTTTGCAACTTTCATAAAGTTCAGCCACAATGATTTTTAACATGTAAGAAAGACATCATTTGTAAGCTTTAATACGCTTAAATAAGTCTTAACGTATATAAATGAGACACATGATGCATTCATTTTAATGATTATGAAAAGTCATTAAGCTCTTAAATTTTTCACATTGAATTTAAGAGAATTTAAATAACTTATCCTAAACATCTTCATCTTCTCTTGATTCTTCATGCTCTTAAGGTTTTATCTTCATCCATGATTCTTTATATCTACACACATAATAAATACCTCTTCTTTTAGTTGTGTAATTATCAAAACATAAGATCCAATACTTCCATTTCATGCACAGCTAAAGTGATATGCAACATCTTAAATTTTTTATTCTTGTATTAATGTTAATTAAGAGATAAATTAGTGAATTAATATGAGATTAGGATTGTAGATGGTGGAATGTTGTTTTGACTCTTTGGGATAATGTATGAATAGATTTGAATAGAGGGACAGAGTTTTGAAATAGAGTGTGTGAGCGCAATGAGGAAATTCCCTCACTATGCCACGCACCGTGGCTCTAGATGTGCCAAAGCTCATAGCACTGAATTCAGACAAATTAGGATATGGAACTCATGGAAAATAGAACAGAAAAAGGAAGAGAAAGAGGGATTAGGCATCGAGAAGAAGCAAACCTTTGCTAGGGAAACAATTTTGGGAGTAAGGACAATGTTTCCAACCTATTACTTATCAGGTAAGTCTCATATTGCCTTAGCCTCTAATTCTATCCTTTTTTTTTAGTTTAAACAATTGAAAAATTGAATTTGGAAGTTTTAAGGAGATGATTTCTTATCCTATAGTAATGGAAAGGTTTTCTGATAATAAACTAGTACTTAATAACTGGTTTGAGTTAGAATAATAAAGATTTGAAGATATAGGCTCAAGTTAACTTAAGTTAGAGAGAGAAAATTGAAAGAAATTTAATAGTGGTATGTTCATACTTGAATTAAGTAGTGACTGGGTGTAGAACGTAGGAATGGATATGAGAAGAGCAAGTATTAGCATTAAAGTGCTTAATTGCTATGGTTGGCATTTAGTCAATAAGACAATTGACCTTGGATACCCTTAATTATGTAGATTTTTATGTGCGATGAGTTGAGTAGTAAAAAGAGACTTGAGTAAGGTGTTGGGAAGGGGTAACCCTTTCTTGCGAATAGAAGGGTTGAGGTAACCATATAGTTTATTATATTTATTAGCTATTATAACTGTGTAAAAGTGATTGTATGATTGTGGAATCGTTGTTTCTATCATTTTCTAAGCATGATTTTACATCTAAACAGTTTTAGCATTAAAATTAGTTTGTAAAATAGAAGTTCAATGATTATTGGCTTTACCTAATCTAAATATATATGTGTGTGTGTATATATAAGTTGTGTAAATTGTGAAAAGTAGTGAATTATGTATGGAAGGCATGATCATAAGGGGTAGGAGTTCACTTAAGGTATATGTAGATATGTGTATATGGAGATAGGTGTAAATAAATCCATATAGTTGACCTGGTACCATGGGACATTCAGTATAACATTATATTTGAGTTGATACCATGGTTGAAATGGATAAAGGAATTTAGCCCAAGATTATGTGATATGGGCAATTGAATGGCCAAACATGTGTCTATGTGTGACAGTATGATTTGAATTGCTCAATCAGGTATTATTTGTCCATTTGGATGTGATCAAGGCCCTAGATGTGGCTAATGACTTGAGGTTTCAAATGGTGATGTATAAGTGGCAAATTGTGACTTAAAATGGTCAAAATGCATTTAGGTGTTTAATTTTTGAATGGGATAATGGATTTAAATAAAACTAGTGTCATTGATTAAATTATAAAACAAGCTTTGTTTGGCCACTTGAATCATTCAAGGTTCGCATTAGATTTTGCAATTTGACAGCAGAATCTAGTGTGTACACCATGACACATGGCACAGAGTGTGATTCTGATGCCTCTGTGCCACATGCCATGGTGTATGTGGCACGAGCTACGATGCATGGCTTACTTTTTTGTGTGAAATTTGATATTTTGAGTTGGTTTCCTTTAAGATCAACTTATTTCTTATTGATTGCTTTCATTGTGTGCTGTTTAGATCAACTTAAATGGTTTCTATAAAGAGATTTTTCAAAAGTTTATCTTGGGGTCTTAAATCTTTCAAAGACATTTTTAAACTAATTAGTGGATTTCATGGAAGGTAAAATGGTAATGTCGGTAAGGGCATTACATTAAGTTGGCATCAATTTCTTGAGTTTTGAGGATGAGCCTATACTAGAGGTTCAACTGGATGAGCCTCAATTACCTAATAGAAGAGATGGCTTATTAGAAGAATTAAGAGATATAATGATTGACATTAGGCAAACAATATGATATCACGACGTGCTATTAAGGGGTAGAGAGTAGGCAAATGAAAGGGAAGGTCGAGACAAACTAGTCCCAGAGGAAGTTCACGGTCGACCTGAGCCATCTCAAGCTCCAGGAAGTATGCAGGTAGTGGAAGTTATTGCTGATTCATCTATTGACTAAGCCTGGAAGACCTCTGTAAGATTTAGTCCACCGACATTTGATGGAAGAATGAAAGAGGATGAAGCCAAATAGTAGATTGAGCGCCTTAAGACCATATTCAATGTAGTAACTTGTACTTCAAAATAAAAGATGACTTTAGCAACAGTACAATTAGTTGGAGTGGCCAAGAGATAGTAGGACTCGATGAGACTACCTAGTGGTGTAAGGCATTCTTAGGAAGAATTCAAGAAAGTGTTCTTTAATTACTCTTCCTAATATCTTTTCATACTGAGAAGGGGGAGGGTTTTCATTCATTCAAGCAAGGGGACCTAGATGAAGAAGAGTTCATAAGAAGATTTAATGAATTCTCAATTTATTCTACATACCTGCAGCATCATAATGACACTAAATGGAAGGCTGAGTGATTATTAGAAAAGATACATTAGAGTATCGGCAGTAAATTGATCTGTTCGATGTGACTACTTATAAAGAAATGTGTGATGAGTTGAGAACGACTGCTAGAAGAGGTAGAAAAGCTGAGGCTAAGAAGAAGAGAGATAGTATAGGAAGATTTATATCTTCTTTGGGTTCGTCGGGCAGTGTTTTAAAGAAGCTCGTATATAGCTCAAGCAATTCTAGAGATTTTAGGAAGAGGAGTTTCACGAGAGTTTCTCAAATCTGGTTAGTTTAGAGGGGTTCTATGCAGAGGTATACAAAAGTCAGAATTAAGCCTTCATAACCTTCAAGGCAAGCTTTAAATACACCAGCTCCTACTCTAAGCACTGGAAGATCATCTTAGTGCCACATTTGCGGTAAATTCCATATTGGCAAGTGCTGGTCTTATTTCAAGTATAGTAAACCAAGTCATATTAGCCTAGACATTGTCCAGAGGGTAGAGTAAAGGCAACTGAGCAGTGGTCAACTATTCCAGGATGAGTCTTTGTAATGACACAAGAAGAGGCTAAAGCATCTCTAAACTTGATTAAAGGTATAATCTTTTTCTATGTCACTAGAATTGAAGCATTGTTTGGCTCTAGAGTTAGACATTCTTTCATCGTAGAAGAATGTGTAGATAAACTAAAACTAGAGTTGAAAGAGTTGCCTGTATTAATCAAAGTGATTACACCTTCAGGATCCTCAAATACTACTAGCAAAATTTGTCAGAAAGTAGAGATTGTATTTGAGGATCGGGTATCTGTGATGGATTTGATATGTATTCCTATAAAAGGAATAGATGTGATTGTAGACATGGACTGGCTAGCAGCTAATAATGCTACACTAGATTGTGCTATGAAATTAATGTCTTTGTCGGTGTTGACAGTAGGGACTGGTTCTACTAATCAAGCCAGATTTTTGTTAGTAGTACAAGTTGAGAAATTGATCAAGAAGGGATGTTGTGGTTATATGGTGATTTTTGCAATCAGTAATGTGTATGATGGGGGTATTGAGAAAATTAGAGTTGTAAGCGAATTTCCTGAGGTATTTTTAAAAGAGATGTCTAGATTACCTCTAGAAAAGGAAGTTGAATTCTTTATAAATTTAGTCCCTAGTACAGAACCAATTTCTAAATCTCCATATTGAATGTCGCCCTCAGAGCTAAATGAGTTAAAGAAGAAAATTAAAGATTTCTTAGAAAAAGGGTTCATTAGACTAAGTGTACCACCTTGAGGATCGTCAATGTTGTTTGTAAGGAAGAATGATAGTAGCTTATGGTTGTGTATTGACTAGCGGCAATTGAACAAGGTAACGATGAAGAATAAATATCCTTTACCTAGGATCGATGATTTGTTAGATCAGTTAGCTGGAGCCTCAATCTTTTCTAAGATTGACTAGTAGTCAGGGTATCATCAGTTAAGTCTTTGTATAGAAGATGTACACTGTAACATCCTCAATTTCTTAATCATAAGTTTATAGGTTAATAAAGGGTACAGTGGGAATTAAAGTAAGATTAGAGATTCGGATGATTAATTGGCATTTTGACTTGTTTGTTGGTTGTATGAATAGATGTGGGTGATAGGAGTACATTTCGGGTCGAAGCAAGTATGTATGGTGAGAATAAATCTCACTATGCCACGCGCCGCAGCTTGTGCTGCATGCACCACGGCGCATGGACCAGAATTTGCCTTTATAAGTTGTGAATTTTAGAAATTTTAGAGGAGAGAAATTGAGAAACACATGAAACAGAGAGAGGAGAAGGGCTGAGAAGATAGGTTAAGTCATTTTGGAGCGATGGAAGCTGATTCAGATCGGTAACTTGATAGGTAAGCTACGTATAACTCTTACCTTCCATTCTACACAAATTTCTCTGAAAATGAGTTATAGGAAAATTGAATCGATGGAATTTGAAGGGTTTGATTCTTGCTTAATAGTAATAAAAATGTTCTTGGAAGTTAAATTAAAGCTTTGTGACTGGGTTAGAGCTGAACGGTAGAGCTTTGAACTTGAAGGCTTAATTTTGGCCTTTAGAGAGAGAAAGGGCAAAATCTAATCTAAGTGAAATAAGACTAGTTGAGGTGATGTAAAGTAGTAATTGGGTAGTTATGGACTTAGAGTAGATAGATGGAAAAGAGTTTACAGATGAATATAGCCCTAAATAGTAAAAATGAGTTTTTGGTCAATATGGGCCAAATGACTAGAATGTGCCAAATGTGTTCAGATTGGCATACTGGACGCGTGAGAAGAGAAAGGAAACTTGAGATAAGCTTGTGTGATAGTGAAATCCACAGGTAACCTTTCTAGTGACAGAAGAGTTGAGGTAACTGAATAACTTCCTTTGTTTGACTGTTTATTATAACTGCATGTTAGCATGCTATGTAATGCATGAACTGGTTTTGAATTAAGCATGTTTTATGGCATTAAGTGATTGTGTGTGTAAAATGACTTTTAGTCGAAATGAGCATTAAAATTGTGTTTTGTAATGTAAGGCTGATCTTCCTACGTTAATCTAGTTAAAAAAGAAGCTATTTGGGAGAATGCTTGGATAAATCATTGATAATACCTAACTAATCCTAAAAAACTATATATCTCCATGACTAAACTAGGATGCTCCCATTTCAACACTACATCAACCTTATGCAGATCTACTGAAATCTCTTCTGATGATACCATATGTCCTAAAAATTAGACTTCTCTCAACCAAAACTCACACTTACTAAGCTTGGCATACAATGCATGGAACTAGAACTATATCATATGTGAAATTACAAATGCTGATGTATAAATTTATTTGATGCATATTCACAAGTGGAACTTAGCATAGCTCAAGAAAGATTTTTCATGATCAAGAGATATGAATTTGTGAATCAATGATCATACATATAAACAAATTTTAGCTTGGCTTGAGAGCTTTTAAGACTTGACAAAAATAATGTATGATTGTTCAACAAGTGACAAATCATGTGTGGTACCGTCAATGTCTCACGTGTGGTTTTGCACTTAGTTGTATTTCAGTAAAGCTCAGGTGTAAAAACTTACATGAACACTGAAGTCTTTCACACATGATTTTGCATCCATAGATAAGACATAAGGCAACATGCCACACAAGTACTTAATCACGTGTGAAGCATTTTTTCACACTCACATGATCTAGTAGTCATTGTGCCTAACATGCAAAAACTCATGAATGACCTACAAAATCATGTGTGATTCTACCTCTTTACTATGCAAACTTTTTCTATGAAAAACCATATACAAGAGGGCCAAAGTTTGCAAGCTTTAACATACTTAGATGAGTGTTAATGCATATAAAAGAGACATATGATGCATCCATTTAATGATTTTAGAAAGGTGAATAAGCTCTCTAAGTTTTCACATTGAATCTAAGAGAATTTAAAATTACTTATCCTAAACTTCTTCCTCTTCTCTTGATTCTTCATGCTCTTGAGGTTTTGTCTTCATTCATGATTCTTTATATCTGCACACATAACAAATACCCCTTCTCTTAGTTTTACAATAATCAAAACACATGATCCAATAATCTCTCCCTTTTTTATTATGACAAAACCTTTAGTCTAAGGTTGTTAATTCTGTTTAATATAAAACTCTCCCTTAAACTGATATGGAAGAATTGAAAGATAAAAGTGTAGAATTAAGTAAAGAGATTGAATCATATGAATGAAAAACATAAAAAATTTCATTAATAATAGAAAATATTGCAGTCATATCATCAAAGAAAATTTTCTTCCTAAGGCTTAATTACATAACTCCCCTTTAAAACTAGCCTATCTCTTTACTCATGTCTTCTTCCCATTTGGCATCATTAAAAAAATGCAAGCCTTCCCAAGAGAGAGGAAACTCAATATCTGAGATAGGCTTCCAAGATTTCTCTATCAAATAGAGAATTTGTATTAAAGGCAAGATTTGATGGAATAATTGTCCAGGTAGAAGAATCATTTGGATCTATAGGCGGAACAGGATCCAATGCAAGTAACTTCTTCTTTATTTTTGTCCAGAGTGCAAAATACAGGTGTGGATTAATTGATAAGACACATTATTTATGCACTTTTTCTATTCATTCAGGACCCCTTTACACGTTGTATTCTCCATTTTGGTGCATTCATGGTCTTAAAATAAAAAAATTTCCCTAAAGGGAAAAGTAGTTCATTAAGGTCATTTTGATCCAAAAATTAAAATTTTGAGAAAATGTACAAAAGATAGTCAAAATGTGTTTTATGCCTAGGAGAATGAATATGAAATTATATTTTGAAAATTCAATTAGGCTTAGGAGATATTAATTAAAAATCACAAAATTAAGGTTATTGACTTTGCTGATCTAATTAGGGTTTTGTGTATATGTGTGTGCATGGTTTTCATGTGTGGCAGTCCTTAGATTGCATTTCATTATTTCTCTCCTATTTAAATAATTAATTTCATGTGACAAAATATGAATTATTATGTCACATACATCTAGTTGATTTAATTTTAAATTTTATTCATTATGTGACATAGGTGACATGTGTGCACTTGGACATGTAACAATTAGGCAAGACAATGCAAGAGGACTTGAGAGATCATTTGTGGCATGAGAAAAGTCTGAATGGTTGGGGTAGATCTGAATTCTTAAGTGCAAAGGATGGGATTATTCATATTAACATAGGAATTATCACCCAACTAATGAAAATGTGCCACCTAAGGGCACATGCACAAAGTATGAAGCTCTCTAGCCATTTTAATTTCATTTTCAAATTAATTTTGAGAAGTAATCTGATCCAAACTAATTATGCACATCCCTTACACTAAAAATTTAGATTCATTTACTCATCATTCATCTACTCCATTTCATCTTTTATTTGCTCTCTCTAGTTCTTAGGGTTCTTTATTTTCTCCTCCTTCTCCTAGTCTCAAGATCAGAATCCTCCTTTATCACTTTTAGAGCTAGTGACTTCTCTTTTCAACATATTCTTGAAGCATAGATAGTCTTTCTTCATGCTCAGCAAGACTTCTAAAAAACACTACCACAAATCTCATGGAATCACTTTTTGTTTCTTCAATGGCAGTAATTTTGGGTTACCATTTAGCCAGGAGAACTCTCATAATTTTTTTAACTTTCTCCTTCTGAATACAAGTCTTTTTAAGTGCTATAAGTTCATTCATCATGTGTGTGTATCTCACTTACATTTCCTTGATGCTTTCTCTAGGCTTTATATTAAACAGCTTATATTGTTAAGTCAATGTACTCATTTTGTTCTCCTTGACTTCTTCACTACCTTGATGAACAATCTCTAGAACATTCCACATTTTCTTTGCTATTTTCAGATTGCTAACTAGAAAGTACTCTTATTGACTTAAGGCATTTTGTAACATCCAAGAAAATTAACTATGATTAGTTCACCCAATGATTTTGATTAGTGAGTTAATAAGGTGTGTAGTCAGAAAGGCTTAACTTGGTGTAATCATTATGATTTCAACCCTAGAAGTGGGTCCAAATGATCGCAGGCTACCTGGGCAAGGAAAGAGGGAGAAAGGGTGAAGAATTGCTTTTTGTCCTACATGCTGTAGTGCATGGTCAGTCTACATAATGCACAAAAGCAGATTTGAATGTGGGCTCCTCTGTGCGATGCACTGTGGTAGAGGGTAGCATGTGCCACAGTGTATGAATAAAATTTTTGATAAATCAGTTTATGTCTGTGCGAGAAAATAGAAGAGAGGAGAGGAAGAAAATGGAGAGAACATTGGAGCTTTGATACGGCATGCACATTAAAGCATATTGGTGATAGATTGAAGCTCTTAAACACCCAAGGTAAGTAATCTAAGCCTTCTTCCTCCTTTTCCTCCCTCATTTTTGGAGATTTATAATAAGGTTTAAGTTGAAAGATGGATTTTTAGTTCATAAGAGTATGGGTCCAATCCTATTAATTAAAATGAGTATAATAGTGGTTATTTAAGATATTAGAACACCACATTGATGATTTTGAAAGTGGTTGGTCTATAGGAGCATTTAATACCTGAATATCAACATTAATGAGGTAGTTGGGAGAGGCTTATGTCAATTAATGATAGTTTGAAGTGGTATTAATGATAATATATATTAATGGAACCTAATAAACCATTGGGTATGAATGGGTAGTGATTATTGGGCTAATAGGTGGAATGTGTGGAGACATGTGTGGTAAATCCTCAAGATTGAGACAATAATGATATTCTTATGGTATGATTGTAGTGAGGTTTGAATTGGGCACCATTCAAGCTTGGGAAAAGCTTTGGAAGTATTTTGAGTGAGGGGTAAACATTTAACCTCTCAAAGGTTTGAGGTAACCAGGAAAAACCTAATTTTATATAGTTGAATATTAATTGGTTACTTATTGAAAATGAGTTAATTTGTGACATGAATTATATTTGAAACCCTTGATGCAGATTTAGCATGCTGAAGATGTGAAAATGTGAAAAATGCTATGTGTGCATATATATATATATACATGCGTGAATCATGATGATGATGAGGGAATAATGTGTTATCATGATGTGTAATGTGCAATGATTGAGTGAATGAAAAAAATGAAATGTGTTATGATATGACTTGTGATTAAATTGCATAATTATGTGATAATATGTATAGCATGATTATTGTTAGAAATTCGCCTAGGGAGAGGAGTAGATTGGTTAAATCCATGTGGTACTGGCAATAACCGTTGGAATCGAGAGGTAGCCCTTACCCTATAGTTGATTCTAGTTTGTCCCACTTGTTCTACGAGAGATTTGAACCTAACTAGTCTCTACCGGTTCATGAGGAGGCTAGATTAGAGATATGACACCCTATGGTTGTTAGTATTGGGGAAAACTAGGTTAAATAAGTGAGTGAGTTCACCTTAGCTCAATAGCTCTTTACAAGTAGAAGGCTGGGTTAGTCCGTGAAGGACGTAGCTATAAGATAGCCACCAGTTTCACGTCGGAGCTAACAGGAGGCTATAAGGTTGGCATATGATTATGCATATAAGTTCGGCCACATGGTTGTTAGTTTTATGGTCCGATATATGTTAGGGGTACATGATTGTTATTATTGCAACCCTATGCTGTGTTTTTAAAAATAACATGATATTGTGTGTTGTGGGTCCAGTCACATGGTTGTTAGTTTTGTGAACCATGGCCAAGCGTTTACATGTGATATTTCATGTGTTTTCCTAATTGCATCTATTTTACAATTGATATACAACTGTATAGGTTAGGTGAAACTTGGTTACTGAATGGTTGTACTTATTCCTCAATTCTTAATATTTCAGGGCCTAGTTCATCGGATCTATGTCAGGGGAAACACACTGAGGCCTAGGATTGTGGAGTAATCCACTATATGCCTCTTTTTGTTATTTCATGTGTATATGTTATTGTATTTGGCAACTAGGATCATTTGTTGTGATTTATGCACTACTTGCAGTATTTTGTGTACAACTTGTGTATTTTATGCCCTAGGTTAGTGAGTTTGATTGTAAACCCGTGGATAGGGCCAAATACTTGTGCAAGTAGAAACATGTGTATTTTGAAAGAATTGGAATGAAATTGATGAATTTGCGTAAAGTTTTCCTCTCCCTTGTGTTTTGTGAAAATTGGGGTTGAGTGGCGTTTTCAAGAGATACGTATTTATGATTATGTGTTGTGTAGTGCACAAGTTTGCAAGAGTCCATTGAGTATGGCCGGATGGTCGGTGTGAGCTAGTGGCACGTGTGATTGAGTTGGGACACCCATTTGTGAAAATTTGTCAAAAAGTGATCAAAATAGGTTTTGGTGTATAATTTTTTATAGAATAAGAGTTTGAATGTGAAATTGGTGCCATTAGCTAGAGCTAGGAGAAAGCTCCGTGTAAACATCAAAATTACCTCAATTGAACGTCAGATGGAAATTTGGGACACATTAGAAGTTTGGTCCCTATGTTGTCAAATGACATCACTGTTGCTGTCAAATCTGTGTAATGCACCACAGCACATGGAACAGAGAAGATAAGCTGTAGCGCATATGCCGTATACTGCAGTGCATGTGTCATTTTCTACATAAATTTTAATTGAGTTTTAAACTTATTATTTTAGGTCCCAATTGATTTTCAGGCTTCTACAAGGTTTTCGAACTCTGATTTGAGCTTATTAACTATTGTTTGAGATTTAAAATGTTAAATTTAGGATTCCTTTTTAAAAAGATTTGAGAAATTTCCTTTTTATAAAATTTTATAACTTTGGTAATCCTTTGAGGGTTTATCCCTTGATTACCATGAGTTCAGAGTTAATTATGGATCGATAAGGTGACCTTACACGCTGGCAATGATTAATTTTGCCTTGGAGTTGAGCACCACGAGTTTTTCTTCCTTTTTTGTGAATTCACTCCTTTCTTTTCTTACAAGTTGTCCTTCTACTATTTTATAAGGAATGTAAGGACTACTCTTAACAATCTCCCATAGATTAAGATCTGAGGCCTTAAAATGTAGTTTCCACCATTGAATCATTCAGGCCTATTAATTTTAGCACTTTTTGGGAGAACATGTCACCAAAACCAACCATAAGATCTTCTTAGACTATTAAGTCTTTAATCAATAGTCCAAGCTCTGATACCAATTGTTGGATAGGCTGGCGCTCAAGAGGGGGATGAATTGGGTAATATTTAAAAACTTTTGAAGACATAAAGGAGTGAAATACTTTAGTTTAGGAAGAAAATGGGACACATAAGATTTATACTGGTTCAGCCCAAACTTGGCCTACGTTCAGTACTTAAGATTATACTTGAGATTTTTAACTAAAAACACAAGCTTTAATAGGTGCTTACCACCACAGTAAAATTCATAAGACTTAACTTGTCTTGAATCAAACAACAAACCTTACTACACTCTAGCAAGTTATTACAAACACTTGAAAAATACCTTTTTAGGAATTTCAATGTAGAAGATAAATTTTCATAAAAAACTCTCCTAAATAGTAGATGAAATTACAGTTGAAATCTTATAAACTTATGAGAGCTTTTATCACAATTCTTTTCAAGAATGATGAATGAATGAAAGATGTTTAAGCACAATTTGAAAGGTTTTTAAATTCTCAAATACAGATAAGTTCGCTCAGTGATCATTCGTTCTTCTTCAATCTTAAAATGAATCAGATATATAGTTTTGGTAGTTAAAAAACTATTGGAATAATGTTTTTAGCCATTAGTGCTGTTTCTTATAAGTGACCTGCTGAATCACACATGAAATTGCATTGAACTCATTCCAAATACATATATGTGATAAATCATACATGAACCTCGTAAACTCTCGCATGTGGTTTTGTATATGTGAATATGTACTCAATTCAATAAGTTAGATCTTGCATGTGAACCTTTAACTCTCATGCATAGTTTAGCATGTGTGAAAACATCATCAGTTTTATTTGACAAATCTTACGTGAAACTACTATGCTCTCACGCATGAAATTGCTTATAGAAAGTAAAGCTTAGATCTGTGTCACAGAACTCATGTGAAACCTCTTTACTCTAACACATGAAATGGCTAGAAGAATGCTAAAGCCAATTTTTGTGAACAAAACTTGCATGCAAGTAGAAAGCTATTACATGTGAAATAACCATATTCAGACTTAGTCCATTCGGGAAGACATATCACAAGTGAATCTTATCCTTGCTTACACATGAAATAGCAGTCAGTAAGGCATAAACCAGTCCAAGTACATTTTCACAAATGGAAATATAATGCACTCAAGCAAGAATATGCATGATCAAGGGATATGAATATATGAATTACAGATCATACATTTGAACAAGGTGAACTCAGCTTGAGGTGACTTAATACTCAATATAGCAATATGTGATTGTGTAACAAGTGATAAATCATATGTGGCTACTATCAGTCCTCACACATGAAATAGCCTTTGACACAATGTAATGAAGCACAATTGCTAAAACTTGTGTAGATACCAGTGGCTCTCATGCATAACACAAGTGACAATCATATGTGAATCACTTCCTGACTCTTATATGTTCTATTGGTCAGTGTGCCTAACCTACTTATTCTCGTGAACATACAAGCAAAATCACGGGAGATTCTGCAGTCCACACTGAATTCATTAACAATGATTTTTAACATGCTAGAAAGATATTACTTGCTAGCTTTAATATCCTTAGATGAGTCTTAATGTATATAAATGAGACATATGATGCATTCATTTTAATGATTATGAAAAGTGATTAAGTACTCATTATTTTCACATTGAATCTAAGAGAGAATTTAAATGAATTATCCTAAAATTCTTTATCTTCTCTTAATTCTTCATGCTCTTGAGGTTTTGTCTTCATCCATAATTTTTTATATCTGCATACATAATAAATACCTCTTTTCTTGGTTATGTAATCATCAAAACATATGATACAACAACCTTGATCACCTCAATTAGAAGTCAGATGAAGAAATAAAGTGCATCAAAAGTTGCCCTGTTGTTGTCAAATGAAAATAGAAATGTTGTCAAAATTGTCCAATGGATCATGGTGTATGGTCTCAGAGCCGCAGCATATGGTATGGAGCAAACATGTCACGATGCACGTTGGATAAGTTGCAGTGCATGTCTGCTTTTCTTTACTAGTTTATTGTTTTCAACTTTTATGCAAATTTATTGATTTTTTTTGAATTCCTATGCTTTCTTATCCTATTTACACTCTGATTTGGACTTAAAAGATGATTTATGTAACATCTCGAATTTCTAATCCTGCATTAATAACTAATTATGGAATAAATTAGCAAATTAATAAAAGATTAGGATTCTGGATAGTGAAATGTTATTTTGACTTGTTAGGATAGTGTGTGAACAAATGTGAGTGGAAGAGCAGCGTCCTAAAGTAGAGCATGTAAGTATAGTAAGGATTTCCCTCACTGTACCACAAGCCGCGGATAAAGCAGGATGCACCATAGTGCATCATGTAGAATTCTAATAAGTTCACATGCCAGCTCATGAAAGAAAAAGAGAAAAAGGAAAAGTGGGGTTAGGTATGGAGAAGAAATGGGAGCTTTACTAGGGCTAGCAATTTCAGGAGAAAGGACGACGTTTCTAACCTGTTACTTATTGGGTAAGTCTTGTTCTGCCTTAACCTCTAATTCTACCCTATTTTCTTAGTTTTAAGTATTGATAACTTGAATTTGAGAGTTTTAAGGAGTTAATTTCCTATCTTATAGTAATAGAAAGGTCCTTTAGGACTAAACTAGTACTTTGTGACTGATTTGAGTCAAAACGATAAAGCTTTGAAGCTACGAGTTCAAAGTAACCTAACTTAAAGGGAGAGTAATTAGAGAAATTTGATTATGGAAATGTTAATACTTGTATTGAGCGATAATTGGTTATAATATGTGTGAATGAGCATGAACAAGGGAAATGGTAACAATTAGTTGCTTAGATGTTGTAAATGGCACTTGTAGTCAATAGAGTAATTGACTCTGGGTGCCTCAATTGAGTATATTCTCATGTGTGACGTGTTGAAAATGTGAGAAGGAGCTTGAGTGAGGTTTTGGAATATGGGTAAACTCTCTTGCGAATAAAAGGTGTCATACCTTAACTCTAAACCTTATTAACCTCCATTTTATGAACATTAGGACCTTAAATGGTAGCTTAGGAACCAAGAAATCAAATTTGAAAACTTGAATTGGCGGTTACTGTTCATTTGGTAAATCTAAAATTTTTAGCCAATTTTGAAAATTCATAACTAAATGTAGAAAAATCAAAATTGAGTGTTCCAAAGCCTATAGAATCTATTTAAGTATAATGTATAGGAAAAATACTATAGAGTTTTCAAGATTGATTTGATTTGTATTCCTATAAAGGAAATAGATGTAATTGTTGGCATGGATTGGCTAGTAGCAAATAATGCTACTTTTAATTGTGCTTAGAAAATGGTTTCATTAACAATATTATCTACAATAGTGGATTCCCCTAAACAGTTTAAGTTCTTATAGTAGTTAGTGCTGAGAAGTTGATCCGATAGGGTTGTGAGGCATATATGGTATTCTTTACCTCTAGTGCCATATATGATGGTAGAATTGAGAAGATTAGGGTAGTGAGTGAATTCCCTGAGGTATTTTCAGATGAAGTGACTAGTTTACTTCTTGAAAGGGAAGTGAGTTCTCAATTTATTTGGTTCCTGGAGCTAAATTAAATTAAAGGCATCGTATTAAATATTGCCATCAGAATTGGCAAAGTTAAAGAAGCATATTGAAGATTTGCTAGACAAAGGATTTATTAGACTAAGCGTATCACCTTAGGGTTACCAGTGCTATTTGTGAGGAAGAAGGATGGTAGTCTGCATCTTTGCATTGATTACTGGCAATTAA